GTCCTGTGCCGTCCTCACAATTGTTGGTGTCATTGAACCCATTGTTGCAGCCACTGTGTCAGTCCATTTTGTTGAGAATCTTCCTGTTTTTTGCTGACCCTCTACATAGCATAATGGCAATTTGCCAGCATGGTACCTGTATTAAAGAAATATATATCAGCATCTGTAGGAGGAGATGCAGGGAGAGGTCTTAGGGTATGGGCCTCTCTTGGCCAATGCTTATCAAGGCATAAGTACTTGGTAAGAAAGTGTAGGTGAGTTAGCACAAGTACTTTGAGGAGAGGAACACTGGAATTCTAAATAGCGCTGGTGAAAACAGAAAAACCAATATCTAACTTATGGGAAAGCTGGGTAATGAAAAAGGAAGAGAGATGAATTGATGGATTTGAACTGTGGACTGCCAGGAGGTCAGAGGGGCAAACCAGTCTCAGAAGAAATACAAGCAGAATGCTCCTTAGAAGCAAAGATAAAGGGACTTTGGCTCCAATTGCTACAAAAGATCATCACGCTTAGAGCATCAGTGAAGATGAAGGAGATTCTCACTAAGAGGGGTTGACACAATGGCCACAGCAGTGGTTATAGCAATGATCACAAAGATGACACAAGAGCAACAGCATTTTGTTAAGTTGTACAAGGTCACTGTGAACCTGAGACGACTCAATGACAACAAATTCTAGTATCCCTTCAACAGTCTTGGTTGGCCAGTGGCTTTTTGTCTGTTAGACCCATGCTGGCCAGTGTCTTTCCTGGCAGGTACAAGTGAACTGGTTACCCTGAGCTTTAAGCTTAAGAAGCATTGGGCACTGCTGAAGTGCTGACTGTGACTCACATGGCAGAGGCAGGGGTGTTGCCAAATGATAATTTTTGTTCCTTTGGGGTCCCTTTTTTATTCAGTTCAAGAACCAGCATGTTAATACAGAATATACATGCTTATAAAAGGAGAAAATGCAGGAAAATTCCTTTTAATAAAAAAGACTAGGCTGATAGAGACTGGTGGAACACCTGAGACTGTGGACCTTGAAGACTGTTGGATACCCTTCAAGCCTGGAACTAAACTCACCCCCATGGTTCAAACTTCAGCCAAACAATAGATAGGCCTAGTAGGGTGAACAGTAACACCAGGGAGTTACACACTTCTTAGAACAACAGAACATATAAGATCAAAAGGACAGCATTTGCCCAGGGGGAAAGAAGGGATAGGCAAGAAGGACAAATGAAAGTGTAACCACAGGAAAGAAGTGGGAAGAGTGCTATTACAATGTGGGGATTGCAGTCAGTGTCATAAAACTGAGTGTGTGTGACTGATTGAATGGAAAACCAATTTGCTCTGTAAACTTTCACCCAAATCACAATTTAAAAAAGAGAAAAAGTCCTTTTGCTTGCATGGTGTATTTTGTATGGCATAGGCCTTGTAACATCACTACTTTGAACTCTGCCTGTGAGTTTATTCATATATTTATTTTTAAAAGATGCTGGAAAAAATTATGGCCTATGCATATTAGCATGTTAGCCAACTTGGTATCATCATCTGATGAGGAGGAGGATAAAACATAATTTGTATACTTTGTAGGAAATCTTATTCAAAACATTTGGTGGAAATTCTTAATTATGGTTTGTTTATCCTTTAAATCTTGGCAATAAATGTAATAAAATGTTCTTCACAATATATGTAGTAATACATATGTTATACAAATACAGTTCACTTCTCTAATGCATGGGCTTGGATGTGATCCTCATGATAGTTTTATTGGACACATTTATTTTAAGTTAACAGTGCTCTGTTGATGGTTGTTACTTTAGCATCCCTCTAATCAGACATTCATTGTATGATCAAACTTAACTTTTTCTCAGTTAAAAGTTATTGGGTTCCAGCCATATATATGTATGAGTATATAAATTATACCCATCTTTATGTTCATGTATATGCACACACACCCACACCCACACACACTTCCATCAAGTCAGATCTGACTCATAGCAACCCCACCTTGGATTTCCATATATGTATATACACCAAACTCACTCCCATCGAGTCATTCTGACTCTTAGAGACCTCCATTGGGTTTCCAAGGCTGTAAATATTTACTGAAGTAGATTGCCTTGTCTTTTTCCTATGGAGCAGCTGGTGGTTTGAACTGTGGATCTTCTGGTTAGCAGCCAAATGCCTTATCTACTATGCCACCAGAGCTCCTTATTTGTGTGTGTATGTTGTTGTTGTTGTTGTTGTGTATGTGTATGATATACATATATTATACACACATATATTTTTACAAATTAAGGTTTTATTCTGATTGCCAGCTAAATCAGTTTTAATTTCGTAGCTTAAGAATTAAGGGTTATACATGGTTGCAGGGGACATCAAGCTCAATTGGTATGACATACTATGCAGAAACACTGTTCCATATCCTACTTTGGCAAGTAGCAACTGGGATCTTAAAAGCTTGCAAGCAGCCATCCAGATGCAGCTATGGGTCTCTTCTCATCCAGAGCAAACAAGAATGAAGAAAACCAAAGACTCATGGAAACAATTAGTCCAAGGGACTGGTACACCATGAGATCCTCAGCCAAATGACTATGAGACCAGAAGAACTAGATGGTGCCTGGCTACCACTGTCAACCACTCAGAGGGGGATCCGTGTAGGAGATCCTGGATAGAGTGGGAGAACAATGTGGAAGAAAATTCAAAATTATTTAAAAAAAAAATGGGACCAAGTTTGCTGGTCTGTAGAACCTGGAGGAACCCCTGAGACTATGGCCCCTAGCTCCCTTCAGGTCTGGAATTGAACCCACTCCTGTGGCTTCCAGGCAAACAAAAGACAGGCATATGAGCTGAACATTTACATTAGGTAGATACACTCCTTGGAGAGATCAATCATGGGAGAATAGAAGGGCTGTGTCTGCACAGGGAGACAGCTAGGGGGGGGGGGGTGCAGGAGTACATGGGAGGGAAAGACACAGGGAAGAGGTAACTATGGGGAGGAATTGGAAAGAAAGCTGTTGCATTGTGGGAAATTGTAGTCAGCGTCATGAAGTGTATGTGAACTGCTGTATGGAAAATGAATTTGCTCTGTAAACTTTCACCCAAATAACAATAAAAATTAAAAAATTAAGGGTTATACACTGAAGTCAATATGTATATATTTAGCATTTCAGTCTAAGCTAGTACATGTGCACAGCTGAAAACAATGACAAGGTATGGCCTAACAAATCGTAGTTTTTACACGTATTAAATGTCTTGCACACTGAAGTTGTCGTATGTACAGAGAAGAGTCAGAGCTTTTATATTTGAGTTTATTCTTTCTTTTTGCAATGTTTTTGAGTTTATCCATTTAATTTTAAAACACTACTATAGTTGAATCTTAAAGCAAAAACAATAGCAAGTAGTGTGCATATTTTGATTATGTTGTTATGTGCTATCAAGTTGGACCTGACTCATAGCGACCCCTCCTTGGCTTTCCAAGATGTATCACTATGGAAGTAGATCGCCCAAACTTCCTTCCGAGGAGTGGCCCTTCACTTACTCATTACTGCATTTAAAATGCTAGTCGTGAGCATTATTCATTGGCCCCCATGAAGAGGCCTAACACTGAGTGCCACCCTGGGGTGATGGTCACCTTCCTCATGTGTTTCTCCAGTGTAACGGCATCATCCTTCCTGGTGTGGATCAAAGTTCACCAGCTCTACCTGTTCCATTTCAGCAGTCTCTTCTACTTCTTTCCTCTGAGGTTGGAGTTTTTCTAACAAAGAGAGTTTATTAGGAGAGAGAAAACCATTCTCAGGAAAGTTTACCTTTAATTCGATGATTAGGCATCCCTTTTCTTATGGTCTACAATAAATCGGCGTGTCTTCAGTTAGCACACACTTGATATCTTCACGCTTGACCATGTGACCTGGATGAGAGGTGATGACTGTGGTGCGGTTGTTAGAAGCAGATACTGGCTTTGGGAAGCCACACAGTACTTCAACCAACTGTATGTCCATACACATGAATAGGGCTTCTCCTCGTCTGTTACAAACAGCAGAATCCTTCTGAATGAAAACAATGATAATATCTCCTTGCTCCAGTCCTGGCTCTTGGTCTCCTTCACCATGGAATTGTTATCTCCTGGCCATCTTTCATGCCTTTGTCAATACAAACTTCTAGAATATTCTCTCAAGCCATCTTCTTTCCATTGTAACCTGAATATCCAACCTCAGGCCTAATCTGTCCCCATGGCCTGGCACTCTGTGCACACAGACTGACTGTGTTGGACCGTGTCCTAGCTGAGGAATTCGTATTTGCATTCCAGTACTTCAGCAATTAGGACAGCACTCTAGTACTCCTTTCTTACTGCCTTGGCCTTCATTCACATGTGTCACAAAAGGCATTCTAATGCAGAGCTGGTTTTCTCCTTGCACTATTTTGTAAATCTCCTCATGTGACTAAGAGTTGATTCATAACGGTTTGTGCTGTCCTTTCTCTGTGTGTCTTTCCACCACCAACACAAAGCATATCAAAGATGTCCATGGGGGTACCAGAACCACCACTTCTTCCACCCTCTTTGATGGTCTGGTGTCCCCCTTTGTCATATATGTTTTCATTTCTTTGCATCAGAGAGCACTTCATAAGCTTGCAAAATCTGTTTAAGCTTCTCATCTTTATTTGGATTTTTATCGGGCGCCACTTCAAGGCCAGTTTCCTATAAGCTTTTATTTTTTCTTTAGCTTTCCCTGTGTGGCTCTGGGTTTTGCCCCAAAACATCATCCTAAGTGGTTTCCGTCGGCCTTTTCTCCCCTGAGCCGGTGTTGGGAGGAGGAAGGGGTGCATAGCTGTGCACAGTTTGGGCAGCTGCTGTGCCTCCCCCCCCCCCCTCAGCGTTCTGGGAAGGTCTCCCTCATACACATTTTTGAAAACATCTTTTTCATAATGACAAAAATGAATGAATAAATGATAAAGATTTTGCAGTCTGCTAAGGATGTGGTTTAAGGGACAATTGTTCTAATTTATTGTTCTCTTTCAGACCATGGAAGAATACATGAACAAGCCTACATTTTAACTTTACATCTACTTGAAGACTCAGAGTGCTACAAGTTGTGAACCTGTAAATAAACAATATCTTACACTGAACTGTTTGACAGCACCTCTGGCACCATGCCAAAAATAACTTAAAGGGATTATTTGTTACCTAGCAAAATTTAAGGTTGTTTAACATATTTATAATTATTACATGTCTGTATTATACTGTATATGAACACTTACTGTAGCTCTGGGTATTAAAATCACTGCCACCTAGCTCAATAGACTGAAAATTTGTTGCAATGATTTTAATGCCATGTGATCTCTTTGATAAATTGGTTGCAATCATTTTTGTTGGCTTTGATCCTTTTCTGACAGGTTGAAACCTGGTTTGTAATGATCTGTGATTTTCAATGTAAAGTCTATCTTGTATCAAAACCTTTCTTTATGTCTCACTTTTTTATTTTATAAATAATTCAAAATTATGGTAATAGTTCACCATTCTTAAATGATGCTAGATATTTTTAACACACAGAGTAATACTGTCATTTCAGTCTAGATACTGATTTCAATATTGTGAATTACTTTTTTCGGAATTGGATTTTTTGGAAAATAACCAAAGGTGATGTAGGATTTTGTAAGTGATTTTGGTGCCTTAGAAGCTGCTATCTAGGCTGACATTTTTAATTTGCTTTTCAATTGGATAGAGGGGTGTTCCAATCAGGTGGTGGTTTCCACACTGTGTATTTGTAAAGTTTCAAGCGATCTGGAGATAATGTCTAAGACTTCTATTATTATGATAAAAATAGTAGACTAAGGAATAATAACAAAGCAATAATTATTATTCCTAGTGCTACTTTAAAAATCTCATGTCCATGTACTCTTAGTTGCTTATTGGATTTTGTTTCAAATGTTTTAATGTAAGTCTAATATAATGGAAGACATATTTATTAGGCTTACTTAGAACATTTAATTAATGCAGCCTACATGGGAGATGCCTTTTCTTTCCTTAATCCTCAAAGAAAGTAATTGCTGCTGGCCATTATTACTGTGAATATATTGCATCCATGCCTCCTGGAAGAAGAGTTCTCCCAGCTAGTAAATGGGATCAGGTCCATATGGGCAATCACTTGTAGTAGTCTGTCTTGATATGCTGCTTTTGGTGTCTCGTGCATTTCCTGTGTTAGTTTTGAGGTTTTGGTATCACTCATACTGGAGTGGTTAGGGACCCTAGTGCCTAAGGTATTTGACTGCTAACCAGAAGGTTGGCGGTTCCAACCCACCAGCCACTCCACAGAAGGAAGATGGTACACTCTACTCCTGTAAAGATTTACTGCCTCGGAAACTGAAAGGGGGTGCTATGAATGGGAATTGACTCCGTGGCAGTGAGTTTGGTTTGATTTTAGTGCTTTTTCTAAGGGAAGTGTGCTGCTGTTGGATTCTGTAGGAGACCGCATGTGGGAGACCTTTGGAGAACATGATGAGAAAAATGTCCCCTTTGGTTCATATTGGCAAACATATTTAGGGAAAATTGGCAGAACTGGAGCAGAGGGAAAATTGATCAATTCCTTAATATGACCATTATGAAAAGGAGATGATTCATTAGCATATAAAGTA